GAATTATGGAGGATATCTCAGGCACTTACTTCTACAGAAGTCTGTTTGCTAACCCCAAGTAGGTGAAGGCACTTCTTCAAGTCTAATAGATGTTCAGCTTCTACGATCTCGAAAATCCTAGTGAGGAGGCTCTGATAATATTTTTAACGAATGTTGTAGATCAGGTCATGGCTGATTTGGTAGAATCGAAATGTATCATTATCGATGAGGTCCGCTTCACTTACTGTTTCGCTGTTCAACCTGTTGAAGTTTCAGGAAGAGAACAACATTGTGTCATCACCATTCGGAAGGTTGACTCAATGATGAACTGGAGAATGCGTAAGCTCTTCCCAAGATCTTTGTTCACTTCAGCGTTGTTGTCCAACCTATTGGGACGTCCTGGATTCTTCCAATACTAAAGCTCACCTCTCGTTCCAAGTATGTTCTCTTTCACTTTCCAATTATCGTTCGTTTCAGGCTCTGTTTTCAAAAACCGGTGATGTTTTCAATTCGTTTCCGATTTCTTGATGTATAGGGAACTACATCGATGTCTGACTGTCTTCCCATCTACCTTCTCATCTTTCAATAACTCCGTCATGCTCAGTTCCCAAAGCTTCTGAACATAAGGCTTTTTTCCATTTTTGGGCAAAATTTTTCTTCTCGATTTTTTCAGCTTTTCAGATACAGAATTGGATGCTGGTCATCGTAGAGTAGGTGAAACTTCTTGGAAATGGCTAGTTCAAAAGATATAAGCTTCCGAAGATTTCAGACGCGTCGCGGTTCCTTGGGTTGAGCTGTGCTCCAATGAACTCGGTCCTTTTCTGGAAGTTTGAAGAAAGTTTCAACTGAAATTCTGATGAAGGTTGGTGTTTTGATTGTTCGTTTTCTTATTTCTATTCTGTTATGCTTTCTCATGCTTGTTGTGATCTTCTTTGCGCTTTCAAGTTTTCTGTTAGTTAGTTAGGCTATGCTCCAATGACTGATGGCTCTGTCTCTTGACTGTTCCCTCGGTCAAAAATGTATTTCTGTGAATGTTGTGCGTTGTTTCTCGATTGATGTATTCATGTT